TTTTTGGTTCAGTTCTAAGAAATCAGGGTTGGGTAATAACTAGTTAATTAGTTAAAAAATTTTTAAATTAATAACTTTTTTCCCAAGTTAAATTTTTTTACCTCTGAATACCATTATTGTTTTTTTTAATAAGCTATAAACGTATTATTTTTAAATTGAAATATTATTAATTTTTATGTCTAATTTATCTCATCAATTGTAATTACCAAAAAATATATTTCTATATAAAAATCAAAATTTCTTTGTTATTTGTTATAAATTTTATAAATTTTTAAAGAATTAACAAACAAAATTCTAATTTAGTATAAATAATGTTTTTGAAAATTAACTTTTGACTTAATTAACTTCAGTTAATTTAACCTTAACTTAACCTATAACTGACTATGAGTTAATTTTTTATTCATGACTTTTTAACTTCACTAAATTAATTTTATAAGCATTAAATTTTGATTTTGTGTCTTTATTAGATTTTTTTTTAAATATATCTGGAAGAGGGTTGAAATCAAAAATCGAGAAAAGTAAAAATGAAGTGATTATTTATTTTAAGCCTTTGATTGCTTGTAAGAACCTTGATCTTTAATTTAATTTTAACGTTGACCTGATCCCCACAAAGGGCAATAATCTTAAGCACTCATGTGTTCTTGAGTAATGATTATCATAAAATATTAAATAATTTTTTTTTTTAATAATTTTTGCATTTTTGCAAAATGAATATAAAGAAATATATATTTATCAAGGACATACATGATCATGACGTTATAATTTCTAAGGGATACATATAATCAGATGACTGCCCCTTCGGTCCAAAGTCATTAACCTTCATGAGGGTCGAGGTCATCGTTGAGATCAAAGTAAAGTCACTCAAACTGCATACATTAAAGATAATAAAGCATACAAATAATTACTAAAAATATTATAAATCTCAAAGATGGAATAGTTTCAATGATCTCCATTTTTACATGCTTTTTTCTAAACACATACGCATTTTATTCGAATTTTTAATTCATGCATTAATAAAAATAAAGATGTAGAGAGTTTAATGTTTAACCTGTCAACAGCACAAATTGTATTATTTTTCGACGATAGAGATTTCCACATATTTTTTAATAAAATCTCTCTCGCTTTCGGTTCATTCTGCATCCGACCATCGCGTTTCGCTCCATCGGTTCGTTAACACGTAAAAATGCGGGGGAGGGGGGCAAGGGAAGGAGGAGGGAGCAAACGGGAAGAAAAAGTGTCCGAAAAAAGTGTCTTAGGCCGGGAAACATCAAAAGCTCTTCCACGGGGGTGACTCGGCCGCGATTCACACTCCTGTCTGCAAAGACCCTCTCTTTTCCTTCCTCCCCTTCTCCGCGCTTTCTCCCCCCCCCCCTTTCCACCCCTCCCCCCCTTTATCCAGGTTGTTTCGCGAAAATCCGCCGCCGCCTTTCGTTAAAGGTGACCCGACGAAATCACCGCCGACGAGTTACACGTGCGTGCAAAAGGGTTGAAGGGACGAGGGGGGGGGGGGTCGAGGGGGGGCAGAGGAAAGTCCGGTGATGGTGGGTGGTCGGGAAACACATACACGCATTCTTGGCGCTATGTGTACCATCGGATACCGCCGAAAATTCCCCAAAGGGAAATACGCGAAACAAAGGCCGTCCTCCCCCCCTGCCCCCCTCCGGCCCCCCTGATCTTTTCTGCATTGTCCGCGCCTGTCATATTTCTCCTATGTATCTCTCTTCGCGTGCACCCGCGCGTTTAGCGCATCTTTGTTTTTTCCATCCATCTTCCTTTTTTTCTCTTTTCGCCCCCCCTAGGGCCCCCCGTTCTCTTTCTCTCTCTTCGCGTCTATTTTTGTATCATTTTATTTTATATTATTATATTTTTATATTTTATATATTTCTTTATTTTTAACATACATTTTTTCTCTTTTCGCCCCTCCCCCTTTTAGCCCCCCTCCGGCCCCCCTGATCTTTTCTGCATTGTCCGCGCCTGTACATATTTCTCCTATGTATCTCTCTTCGCGTGCACCCGCGCGTTTAGCGCATCTTTGTTTTTTCCATCCATCTTCTTTTTTTTCTCTTTTCGCCCCCCTAGGGCCCCCCGTTCTCTTTCTCTCTCTTCGCGTCTATTTTTGTATTATTTTATTTTATATTATTATATTTTTATATTTTATATATTTCTTTATTTTTAACATACATTTTTTCTTCTTTTGCTTCTCCCCCTTTTAGCCTCCCTAGGGGCCCTCCCTCTCTCTTTGCGTCTATTTTTTTATATATTTTATATTATTATATTTTGTATTACACGTGCAGGCAAAGTGGCACTTTGTGTGCGTGTTTTCTGTGCGGAAAGCCGATTTCCCACGCCGCCATCTAGCGGCGACGCGGTGAGTGAATAAGCCGCGTTCAAAGCCATTGCCTACGGCTATTCCCGCATCGTGCCGTCGCAAGATGGCGGCAGACTCGCCTTCGGCTCGTGCGTCCATCCCCCACACTCGTGATCAATTGTCAACTTTCCGCACTTGATATACAATATACTATTTATCTTTTATGTATTTCTTAATGTTTAACAGATATTTTCTCTTTTTGCTTCCTAGAGGACCCTCTCTCTTTTTGCGTCTATTTTTTTATATTATTATATTTTTATATTTGATATATTTCTTAATTTTTAACATACATTTTTATTACTGCTATTCTCGCATTTTTATTTAGTTACACGTGATATACTTTAATATAGCATACACACTAGAATCTATCATCTGGAATATTTATCTCTAACAGGATTCTTAAGGTATTAAAATTCGTGAGAGAATAATTGAGAGAAACATATTAGTATCCTTTCCAAAATTTCGGAGTTTTTTTATTAAGGGAGAGGAAAATTTAAATTGACACATTTTAATTATTTGTATTTATTGTAATTGGAAGGGCTTTAAATAGATATTTTATATATTGATTCTATTATTGCTGCATCGATACAAAATGAGATACAAGATTGAATGCAATTTTCTTGCACGTGTCATGATCGATTGATAAGAGAGAGAGAAAGATATTTCTCTCTTTTCCTCTCTCTCTCTCTCTCGACGATTCGCCGATCAAATAAATCCACGATATCATGCAATTCTGGTTATCTCGTGAATTATAAATATGAATCATAAATCCATAAAATCCTAGTTGCAGACAAATCCATCGCTGATGCAGCATCTCGCGTGTACCGAATATATTTCGCTTTCGATAAGTTAATTTTTATGACACACGAAATCGATCTGTTCGATGAAAAAGATGAAGAAAAATAATAAAGAGAGACAACAATGTTGCGTTATTGTATCGAAAAACTTAAATTGTATAAAAATGCAAATTTTCTTTAAAATTATTAATCGAAAGGTTATATATTTGAGAGCATCGCGTGTTTAATCATAATTCCTTCGTCAAAATGACGAACATTATTTTCCATTCCAAAAAGTACAGTTTTTATTTCGAACTGACGATCTTTTTGAAAGATATGAAGAGAAATATTATTCTCTGTATCCCTGCAGAAAATCTGGATTACGAAAATCCTGAATAGGAAATTCATCTCCGAAAATCGATCTCTAAAATTAAAGAAGAAACATAACCATCTGTTTTTCGCTCTTTCTGTATTTCTTAATAATTTTTCCAATTATCCTATTATTTTTATTTTTTATTTGATCCTCAATTTTCGAGAGGGTGAAAAATTGTTTAAAAAACAATTAAAGACAGGTCCAGAAATGTGTCTCAATATTTCTTATCATATTTTTCCTATTTTTATTTATTCTTTGATCTTCAATTTTCGAGAGGGTGCAAAATCGCATAAAAAAGATCAAAGTAGCTAAAATAATTAGAGACAGGTTCAAAAATGTTTCTTAATATTTTTTCCTACATTATTTTTTTTTTTCTCTGATCCTCGATTTTCGAAAGGGTGCAAAATCATATAAAAAATAATGAAAGCGACTGAAAGAATGAAAATCGAAAAAAACACAGGTCCAGAAATGTTTTCCTTCCCGGGGAGATTTCTCTGTTTCACCCCTGGGGTGAAAATCGAAGAGATTGATAGCCCTGAATCGGTTCGCCTCGGGTCTCTCTCAAGGTTGCTGCTCGAAAGCTCGCCGCGCAGCAACTTCGGCGATGAGTAGTGAGTGGGTCGGCCTACTGAAAAATCGATATGTATGAAAGTGAGAGTCGTTTCTCCCTCGGTCGTTCCACCCTCCTTTTTGTTCTCCTCGCGCGCGCTCTTTCTCTTTCACTCTTCTTACTTCGCCGTTTCGTTCATTCATGTCGTCGTGGTCGGCGTCGTTGGTGGCCGATGATGCACGGCGATTCACGCTCGTGCAATCCCGAACAACGTTAATAAGACAAAGTAGGATTTAAAGAGATCCTGAAGAAAGATCCTTTCCTTCGCACGCGACTCGTCTTATAAAATAATTTTATGACAGTAATTATAATTCATTTCTTATTGCAGAAACGTGTACAAATTTTCGACGAATTAAAATTTTTTTATCTAATATTTTTTTTAATCTAGTGTTATAATTTTTCTGGGATAAATATAAAAATTACACAAGCAAGAATTTCTTATATTCTAATATATTAAATAATTATAGAAATATATTATTTATACTCATATTAAATAATTATATTTGTATAGTTAAATTTAATATATAAAATATAATATATTTTATATATATAAATATAATATATTTAATATATTAATATAAAATGAATATAACCTAAATATAAAATATATAAAAAAGAATGTGTCGAAGATTGTTTTTTATGAAAAATGATTTAATTTATATTAATAAATATCAGTAACATTAATTAGTCAATAAGTATTTTTATTAATATAAATATGAAAATTTGTCCATGGTTATTTTGTGTTTATTATTTCTTCTTCTCCGCATGTCAAATATTTAATAACACACTTAAGAATGAGGTGATACAATTGAATAAATTCGATATATTAACGCTGTGCTTTGAGCGGGTCTTATACCACATCAGGTATTAAGACAACAACATGACGGTGAAATGTAAACACAGACGAGTTCTCGCTAGCTTACAACTCGGCACTTTCAGAGTTTATTCGACGATTATCGCGCTCTCCAGGCTTTACATGGCCGCTCTCTTCCTTCGTTTACAATCTCTGCTCGATCATCCGGACGGCAAAATGGAATCATACGTAAACGGGATACCCAACGAAGACCAGTCGCAATACCAGTACTAGAGAGAGATCTCTTTTATCGTGCATATATAATTAAACGATTATTCGGGGATCGAGAATTTATTTTTTTTTTAATTTTGTTGTGTGTGTTTGTGTATCACAGTGTCTTCCTGTATTTTCAGCAGCAGTGGCATCGCCAAACTCTTAGTGAGCAACCTCCCGGCCCAGGCTCGATTTGAAGATCTCGAACTGCTGTTCGCCAATTACGGCCAGGTACAGAACATCGAGAAGCTGTCGTCGCGAGACCCAAACACGCAGACCATACTCGTCAGCTATGAGACGCAGGAACAAGTACAGCAGTAAGTGTCGCCAAAAATATTTATTCGCTCGAAGAGCTGAATCATTCGGTGCCTTTTTTGTTGAGCATCGAATATAAATTTTTATATTTTTTATATTATGACATTATAAACCAATATTTTATGTATGCATCATTAGCAAAATGTCAATTTTGATTTTCTTTTAGATCCTTATGCAAGTAACATTAACAAAAAAAAGGAATATTTAGTATTTATATTACACACAAATAATAATACTATTTATAATATTTATTTTATTATTTTCAATAATATTAATACTTGAATATTCTTCTTTCTTGAAATATCACTTTCATGAGGATTTATAAAAAAATAGAAATTAATATTTTTATTAATATATATATATATATATATAAAATACTATATAATTTTTATATAATATTAATACCTAAATATTCTTTTTTTTTCTTTAAATATTTAAATAACATTGCAGGATTAAAAGAAAATAATAAGTGATATTTTTATTAATATTTCATGCGTAAATAATAATACTACATAATAATATTTTTAATAATTCTTATTTTATTTTTTTAATTCAATATAATTATATAAAACGTATTAATAACTTAATAATTTAATCAATATTCTTTTTTCTGAAAACACCATTGCAACGATTTAAAAGATGCAAAACAATAAAAATAATTAATTATCAAATGATAAATAAATACATGAAATATTGGTTGAAATAAATAAATAAATTCGAAGGCTAAAGAATTTCCTTCTTTTTTTCTTAGCGCTGTGAACCAGTTGAATGGCTACGAATACGACGGCAACCCGCTGAAAGTGGAGATGTCGGCAGAGGGCCGACGAAGAGGCCGCAGTCAGCGCAGTGGCGGCGTCGCCTTCTCCGGGTTGCCGGGCTCCGGTCGGCAGACCGATTTCCCGCTGCGCATCCTCGTCCAGTCGGACATGGTCGGCGCGATCATCGGCCGACAGGGCTCGACAATACGGCAGATCACCCAGGTGTCCCGCGCCCGGGTCGACGTCCACCGCAAGGACAACGTCGGCTCCCTCGAGAAGGCCATCACCATCTACGGCAATCCCGAGAATTGCACCAACGCCTGCAAGAAGATCCTGGACGTTATGCAGCAGGAGGCGACGACTACGAATAAGGGGTACGACGACGTCGCGAGTCGCGTTGATACTCCCAAAATGGAATCGTAATAAAATCGTCGTGTGATCGCCGGTCGAATAATATAAATTGTTCTGGATAAGATTGTTAGGCTTTAAGGAAGTTGCGGAAACTAAGCGGCTGTCATTTTTTAATGCACGCAGTTTATGAGAAAAAAATTCTGTTGGAAAGAGGAAAGTGCAGTTTTTAATGGATATAAATAACTAGTTTATTTTTTTTATTGGTTGAAAAGGTAATTAAAAAAGTGCTAATAAGTTTTCTCAATAACTGCATGAATTAAAAAAATGACAGCTGATTAGTAGTTTCAGCAATTTCCTACAAGACACCTTTTATATTTCGTCGCTCTTTTCTGTAAATACGATTCTTGCGTATGATTTATATTGCTCGACCGAATTAATTCTCCTTGATTAACGAACGAATTGTTGAGCGTTAATTTTGTATCCTTTTCTGCCAACAGTGAAATCACTTTGAAGATACTCGCGCACAATAATCTCATCGGTCGAATTATCGGAAAGGGTGGTAACACGATCAAGAGAATCATGCAAGACACCGATTCCAAGATAACTGTTAGCAGCATTAACGATATTAATAGTTTTAACCTTGAGCGTATCATTACGGTTAAGGGTACGATCGAAAACATGAGCAAGGCCGAGTCCATGATCTCCAGCAAGCTGCGCCAGAGTTACGAGAATGATCTGCAAGCTATGGCTGTGAGTCTCATCAATATTATATCATTTTGTTTCAAATTTTTGAAAAATGTAAAAACGAAGAGTCAGATTTGCGTAACACGCAGAAATATAAAAAAAAATGTAACAGTGTAGACTAAAGGATCTTTCGCTTAGCATGTCGCGTTCTTGATCTTTCGTCAAGATCATTCGACCGGAAAGCAGTCATTGCGCAACGTGCTGAAGCTGCTTAATCGATGTTTCAGCCTCAAAGCATGATGTTCCCCGGTCTGCATCCCATGGCCATGATGTCCACCGCCGGTATGGGCTACAGTTCCCGTGGACCCGGCCTCTACGGCTCGGGACCCGCCCCGTATCCCTACCAGAGCAGCCTGCCTACTCAACAGGGCGTCCCCGCTAGCGACACTCAGGAGACGACATTTCTATACATTCCCAACAACAGCGTCGGCGCCATCATCGGCACCAAGGGCTCCCACATTCGCAACATTATCAGGTTCTCAGGTGCCAGCGTCAAGATCGCCCCACTCGAACAGGACAAGCCGGCCGAGCAGCAGACCGAAAGAAAGGTCACTATCGTCGGCTCCCCGGAATCTCAATGGAAGGTGATTGTCACGATTGACTATTCTCTCGATGATAACTCTTTGTCATGTTTCTTTGTAATGACGAAGCTAAGGCTCCTGGATACTCGCCGTAGAACTCCAAATTTCGACGGTAGCGACATCAGGCGGATTACAGTTCCGTTTCTTTCTCGAAGCGAGAAATGACAGCCCGAAAGATTCTTGCGACGTACAGCGTTATTTTTTATTTTAGTGCAGCGTTTTTGTGTTTAAAATAATTGTCGTGGTGTTAAAATATACCGAAGACTCTCATTTTGGCATAATTTAATATGTGAAAGCAAATATTAATTTTTTTTCGATACCTGTCAAACAGCTGGTTTTCGTCTTTATGGTTAAGTTCAATTTAATTCGACATATACATGTTATTTATTGATAACCCAAGCAAAAGGAGAGTATTCGGTATATTTTACAAGTGTGTTCTGTCCATTTCAACCGGTATTTTATTGAAAAACATTTTTATTTTCATGTACGTTGCAAGAATTTTTATGGTATATTTTCTCGCTTCTGACGTCATCAATCCAAGATGGTCACGGTGAGTATCCAGGAGCCTTAAGAATATTATGAACTTGTGATCGCTATGAAGCGTTTTAACTTTGATGTAACTTCAGTGCCGTATTGGCAGGTAAGTATAACGTCGGCCTACCAAGGCAAGGATCGCGAGTTCGAGTCCCGGTGATGATACGTTAGTTTGAAGAAAAATGCGCTCTACCTACCCTGCTGAATTTTGGGTGGATGTTGCCTTCTAAGCATCAACTTGAATCAGCAGGAATATCAAAGAAAAGGGTCCCGTATCGATCTCGTCCAATCAAATGTGAGGATCGGTCCCGTTTAACCCTTCGACACTTTTTTGTTTCTTACTAGCTGCTCTGATCCTCGAGACGAAAAATCACGCCTATTTTGTTTCGTCTTTTCGCATCATTAAAAATGATTTTTTTTCTAGGCCCAGTACTTGATCTTTGAGAAGATGCGGGAGGAAGGATACGTCGCCGGCACTGAAGACGTTAGACTGACCATTGAGATCCTCGTGCCCAGCACCCAGGTCGGTCGCATCATCGGCAAGGGCGGTCAAAACGTCAGAGAGCTGCAACGCGTGACCGGCAGCGTCATTAAACTGTCGGAGCAACAAACCACTCCTCCTTCAGCTGAGGAAGAGACCACCGTCCATATCATTGGCCCCTTCTTCTCTGTTCAGGTAAAAGAGAAGGCGCTTTTCATAATATTTCTCAAATTTTAGCAATCAAGTTTTATCATCAACTTTATATAAATTGATAAAATCACCTAGATTATTAGTCTCTTTAGGTAGTCTAGGTAGGTTATGGTAGTCTAGGTAGTTTATTAATGATGGAATGTATATTTTTCTGAACGATTTCTAAAATTTTATCAATCAAGTCTTTCATCAACTTGATATAAATTGATAAAATTACCTAGATTACTAGTCTCTTTAGGTAGTCTAGGTAGTTTTATTAGGAATGTATATTTTTCTGAACGAAATCTGGCAACGCAGACGATAACGAAGAATCTTTTTGCAGTCGGCTCAGAGAAGAATCCGCGCCATGGTTTTGCAGTCGGGCACACCTGGCGGAACCGGCGGTACTGGTTCGCGTGCAGGTCGCGGTAGCAGCCAGGAAGGCGCCTCCCGCTCCAAGAGAGACGGCAGCGCGACTTCCCAAGGCGGCGCGTCGTCGCAGCCCGGCTCTCAGCAGCAGCAATCGAGCGGCTCGCCATCCAGCCAGCAGCAGGCGCCACAATCGCCGCAAAGCCAGTAACAACGTCGATGACATCCCAACATTGACGCGGACCGACGCCTATCCGTTTTATTCGCCGGAGTGGCCTCGTCGTCGCTTTGACATTCTCTCTCGTCGAGAGGGCCGAGCTTCATCAACGACCAACCTCCTCCTCTCGCGAGGCAACGGAAATCCCCCTTCCCCCTTCGGCGGGGGAGGGCTTTCACGAACGAGAGTGTGCACGACGCGCAGATTGTGACGGGAAGACGCGCCCGAGAAGGCAAACGCTTCTGGAGAGTTAACTCGCCCCGAGAGGAACGAATGACGGCGAGACGAGAGTTTCGCGAGCTCTCTCTCTCTCTCTGCGACTTAATTTCTCAAAGAATTCGGCTTTTTTTTTTTCTTTTCCGCGTGCTCGAGAGGTCTCTCGAGAAGCCTTCCTTATTGATTAAAAGATTCGACAAGCCGAAATTCTTTCGAAAATTAACTCGTAGCGCCCGACGAACCCCTGATGACCCTCTCTCCCGGGGTGAGTTAATTCCGAGAGGCTCTCTCGCGGTTTCCAAGGATTCCGAGGCTTTCGCGCGGAATCCAAGACTCAAGATTGTAAATGTCAAGTCAACGAGACTCTCTCTCTGTTCGGTTCGACACCGGGGACCGACACGTCTATCGTGATCGATCTCGAGCCTCGATTCGCGAACGAACGATGTAAAATATATATGTCGGGAGGCGCGAATAAATTTATATTAATGTTGATCGGCTTCAAACTGGCGATTGTTCCCGATCGCGAAATATATAATTTTAACGATTAAGGGAAGACTCGAGAATGCGAGAACGAAAGACGTGCGAGAATCCTGGCTGTGCAGACCGAACGGAAGAAAAAGAGGAGAGAAAGCGCCAAAGCGTTTACTAAATCTGAGCTGGATCCGTCCGATCCAGCTTGACACTGCCGAATTTATTCGATCTACTCTCGTTGACGAGGAAGAAGTATATATATATATATATATATGTAGATATATATCGAGTATCGTTTTCCCCTTCGCTCTACGCGTCTCGTCCACATCCCGACAACAACGACAAAGCGACACGCGCAATCGCGCACGACCCAATTTCGCAAGCGCTAAAAAACGAAACCACCGCCGCCGATGAAATAGGATACGACGATATCTGAAAGAGAAAAGAAAAAAAACAAACTGATAAGGCAAAAAAAAAATAGAAAAATGAAAAAACACACACAACCTTATTACCTCATTGCATTACCGTTAATAAAGATTTAATACGATAGAGAAACGCGAAGAAAGGATAAACCGATTAATCTAAAAAAAATGTCTATCTAATATTAAAGTTATTAATAATATACAGAGAGAGTGAGAGAGAGAAAGAGAGCGAGAGTGAGAGAAAGAGAGAGAGGGAGAGAGAAAGAGAAAAGTTAAGTCACAATTACATATTATGTTATACCTTGTTATTACATACCACTATTACACACTGCAACTATTACTATTATTACTACATACTATTATTATCGCTATATACTATTTACTTATTTCTTACTAAGTGAACTACAGGAAGAAAGCGGTTTTCCTTAAAAATAGAGAAACGAGAAACACACAAGCGCAAACTAGATACACCCAGTTTTTTATATTCACAATCCAGAGACATTACAGATTGATAAAAAATACGAGACTTAATGTAATAAGAAGTCGCAAGAGACCGCGGAACAGCGAACCCGGTTCCCGGTTTTGTAAACATAATAATAAGCCAGGATGCCTCAGCAGGAGAAGAGAGGAAAGGAAAGAGAAGTGAAGTGACCCCCTACTCGCCCCCGACCCGACCCTCCTCGCACCACGTAATAATACCAAAGAAGAAGCGACTATGAGTTTTTTCATAATTAGTGAAGTGAAAAAAAGTGCGCACGCTCTTATCTTCACCTCAAGTTCCTCAAGAACCGCGAGAGAGAAAAAAGGGGGGAGTTTAGATGTACGAAGAGGTGGGAGAGGGGAGATCGACGAGCGGACATCAGGATGTCGAGGATCAGGCACCGACGAGGTATCGAGTAGTCTCGCTTGATACTCGGATTGATTGATGGCGATGAAAACGGGAGAGAGAGAGAGAGAGAGAGAGAGAGAGAAGAGAAAAATCGAAAATGCAAAACTAGATGGAGGTGAGTCCTAGCATGTGGGTATATATGATTTACTTGGACTTGGCCGGTTCGGGCCGTATTTTTAAAGAGTGTTACTGAAGATGAACAGCAACGGAAGATCGAAATAAGGACGGAGGTAAAATGAGGGGACGTGAGAGAAGAGCTGACAGGAAAAAAAAGAGAGGAAATGATAACTGACAAAACTTATCAGGGATTTTTACTTTTATCATGAATGTAATAATGTGTGAGTGTGCGTGTGTTGAATAATAATTATTAATCGATAAGTAATTGATTACTGATTAGGAGTTAGTCTGGCGAGGAGAAAGACGTAACGAAGGACGTGTGTAAGAGGACAGAAAAAAATTTAGGCTTAAAACGCGCAAAAGAATTAAGAGGGTATAGAGGGTAATCGAGACTTGAGATAGGGAGATAGAGAGAGATTGGAGAAGGATGCTGTGCCGTCGAAAAAAAAAACAAAAAAAAAACGAGAAAAGGATCCTTCGCGGCGACGTCCCGACGAGCCCTGTTTTTTTATCTGAAATTTGTGGCTGTTGAAAAAAAAAAACGCAGACTCGGGAACCGCGAAGGACGATTGATATCGCGACTCGTAAACGTGTATGATCGGCTGTTATTATTCCGCTACAGAGTTTACAGGGGTTCTTTGTTTTTCGAGGACAAAATAACTTGGACAAGTATTTTGGCGAAAATGGAGTGAAGGATGAAGAATGAGGAATGAAGGATGAGGAATGAGGAATGAAGGATAAAAAATGAGGGATGAAGAATGAGGATTGAAGGATGAAGAATGAGGCTTGAAGGATGAAGAATGAGGAATGAAGGATGAGAGATGAAGAATGAGGAATGAGGAATGAAGGATAAAAAATGAGGGATGAAGGATTAAAGAATGAGGATTGGAGGATGAAGAATGAGGAATGAAGGATGAGGGATGAAGAATGAGGAATGAGGAATGAAGGATAAAAAATGAGGGATGAAGGATTAAAGGATGAAGAATGAGAATTGAAGGATGAAGAATGAGGGATGAAGAATGAGGAAGGATAAAGGATAAAAAAGGATGGATAAACCTCTGATAGCGGTATATTTGTGGTCGGATACACGTCGCGGCCTGTATGTCGAATTTCGAGGAGATTCCGAAGAGACGTGAAGCGAGAAAGAAAGAGAGAGAGAGAGATTCGAACGGACTGACAGAGAGCGAGAAAGAGAGAGATCAGGCGGGAAGAACGCGATGTATTCGAATAAACTCGAGGAAAAACCGCCTCTCTACAGAGCGGTCGTGCGGCCAAGTCACGACCAAGAAAATTCAATAACAAAACAACAAATGGACTAACTAATTACGTAATAATTAATTACGGCGCGCATCTCGCGTCGCTCAGGCTCGACTCTTCGTCGAGGTGACCTTCAGAGCCACATGGAATTCCACAGGGTGGGTCCAGCATCAGGACGGGCCTCCATGGACCTAGCTGGTTTATAAATCTCGGCATTCGATATGCGTTTAGTACAAAAATACACGAGTTTAAGGATGGATAAGACTAAAGTTTTAAGAGAGATGCAGGGGATATATAATAGAGAGATGTAATATTGTCCCTTTTTTTTTTTTTTTTTTTTTTTTTTTTTTTTTTTTTTTTAATCTCTTTCGGAAAAGGCTGAGGAAATTTCCAAAAAATGTGTGCTCGCGCGAAAATTATAAGATCGATTTTTTTTTGTTGCAGCGGAAAACGAAGACTTGCATTTGACGTATCTTTAATTCTAAGTGCGATTTCACCGATGATTGACTTGGATTATGCTTTAATCGATTTTTTATATTTCCCAGAAAACGTGGTTTTTTCCTAAACTAAGTTAATTGTGATTTAACTGATGACTATCATTTATATGTCAAAATTCGCAGAAAAATGATATTCAGTTATATCTCAATATTAACTTACGTTTAAAATGGAAGGAAGTTTGGGAGAAGAAAAAAATCGATTAAGATTAAAGTTGAACACCAGCACTTTGTGACTATAAAAAAAAAAATTAAAAAAACTTATTTATCGGACCGATAGTTAAAGAAGAATGAAGATAAAGCGAATGCCGGTCTTTTTTTTTCGATAAATACGCGCAGAGCACACGCGATTAAAAAAAAAAAAGGATAAGAATTGAAACGAAAGCTAGAGTGGAGAGAAGGGTAGAAACGAAAGAGAGGGAAAAAATGAGTCTGAGAATGTAGGTTTATTTTTGATACATTGTTCGGGAGACTCCAAGCGAATCTTTCTTTCTCAATATTAATTTTTTTTTCTTTTTTTTTTTTTGTTAAATGTTTTTAACAACTTAATAAATTTTAACGATATTAAGAGTATATCGAGGAAACAGCGAAAGAGATTTTTTGTTCGTAAGATTAAGGGAGAGTGTAAACGAGAGGAAGGGCGCAAAATAATGATTCTCACCGGGAGAACGCGATATAAATTATAACGTTTATAGAGGAGAGGGAGGGTTTATTAATTAAATCGAGAGAGGGACGAATCAGGAGGATGCGCGCGCAGCTTTTTGCGCTGCGCTCGCTCGCTCGCTTTTTTGGGGTGGGAGGGGGGTGGGTGGGAGGGGGGGGAAGAGATTTGCGTAAGGGAGATTTTTTAGTCGGGTATAAATTTGTATATTATATTTAATAATATATTTCGAAGAAGCGGCGGCCGCGCGGATCCGCTCGGCGAATGAAACCCCGGGAAAAAGCTCCCTCGCAGTTTTATGCGAGGGAAAACCGCGGTCAGTCCGGTGCCCCCTTTTTTTTTTTTTTTTATTAAAGAAAGGAAAAGGCGCGGTACAGCCTCGCCGGCAGATCCGCATCCCCGCGGTTATTTATCAAGCGTAAATATTTAAATGATGAGATATAGTGGAGGAGAGAGATAGTGAGAGAGCGAGAGAGAGAGATTTATATTTAAAGCTTGTAAAGAGATTTAAAAAATTGCGAAGAAAGTGCCAAGGAAACGAGATAAAAAAAAAACACGCTCGCGTAATCAAACCAACCATACAATATATTGCAAAACCATAGATACATTTTACAGACGATTGAACGTAACAGAGGAGCCGAAAAATGGAATAGCAATCGGGAAAAAACAGAGACAAAATCGAAAAGTAAAGGGAAAAAAGAGGAAGAGAGAGAGAGGCAAATATAAAAAAAAAAATACAGGGAAAAAAGTTGGAACGAACCCTCCGTTTATTCTCACGGTTGACGGACATCATTTACGCTACTTCGATATCTAATCACGTCTTTGAGGTTTTTTTTTTTTTCCTTTTGGCCCGCACTTCAAAATTTCACGAGTCGATGAAGGAATAGCCCGGACAACGCAGAAGGGAAAAGAAAAGCAGGACACGCAAAAGCGAGACACATGAATCGCCCTTTATTGCAGAAATCGCTCCTCCGTCACCGGCGAAAGGATCTGTGAATCCTTGATCGAGCCGGCCCTCGACGGGGGAGATTATCACCCAACCCGCCCTCTTTTGGAGTATCTCTTTCTAAATTGAGCAAACGAGAAGAGAAGCTTTTCATTCCGACAGAAAAAAAAACGCGACGCGTTTATCTTTCTTTTTTTTAACATTTTTGAATGCCGAAAAATCGACCGAACATTACCACTTTGGTCCTTTAAATCAAATTTGGTCCTTTTGTCTGCGGCCCGGAACGTTTTTCTTCTACATTGTTATAGAAATTTTGAGAAAATGACGTAAAGTTGAAAGCAAGTGTCTGATTGGAAGAGAATTGTGGGCCGATTTTTCAGCATTGCAAGGTGTTAGAAAGGAAAAAAAGAAAGATAAAAAGAGAGAGAGAAAGGACAACCCGCATGCAAGCTCGAGAGAAAGAAAGAGTACAAATCAAACAAAATAACAAACAATGAAAGAGAGAGAGAGAAAGAGATAGAGAAAATAGATGAAATTATTAATATAATAATGATAACTTAAAGGAGAAAAGGAAGATTTTTAACGTTATAAATTATTAAAAATCGTGCTGAGCGCGCGATTTAGGAGGCGAGAAATATAACTTAATCTACTACGATAGGGATATCGACAAACAAATGTACAAAATCGATTTATCGCTAAATGTTAGTATTCTAGAGTATTTTACCGGCGAAGAATCGCGTAAAAGCAAAGATTATACTAAGCTCGGCTA